GATGGTTAAATGACCTATAGGAACAGTAGCATGCTGAGGTTGTAATGGATTCATGTTAGGTGATCCAGAACTTTTCAGTAAAAGATGGGGTAGGGAAACAAAGATGTTAATAAGAGAAATGATTTAGAGTAAACCTCATTTCAAATGAAAAGACATTCATTAATAAAAGATCAACTCTGTAACTCTGCACTGTTCTGCTCTCTCTCAGGGGCAAGAAACAGGTTAGACATTCAGCATTAAGAGTTAATGAAATGAGTACAACAAAAGGCCAAAGTGATGAAAAAGGCAGCACAGAAGTAGTTGATACTATGTGGAAAGAATTTATTTGGTAATGAATTGAAGAAAGTAGACTGAAAGATTGGGCCTGTACAGCCAGAGTTATGAACAGATTCAAAACTTAAAAAAAAAAAAAGAGGTTATAAATAAGCCTATGTCCAGGAAATCCTACTCATGTTAAGATTTTCCTCAAAAATAAAAATCTGATGAAAGCCTTTCATTCAATTCTGCTTCTTAGGCAACAAAACGATACCAAATTAATAAAGGAAAGATTAAGTAGGTAAGGGTAACTTTGGGGATGCTAACGGCAGCACTGTTGGAAGAAAGAAATACAGCCAAATAAAAAGTGTAAGATCTGAAATCAGAGAACTAGGGTTTGAGTCCCAATTTAGGCAAATAATTTCATGGTATGTAGGCCGCAGTTCCTCATTTGGATTATGGGAATAATAATCACTGTAAATAATATAGGAATAATAATAGCAGCAACTAACATTTGTTGAATGCTTATTATGTTTCAGGCACTGTTTAAGTGTTTTACATGTATTAACTTATTTAATCGTCATGATGACCCATAGACACTTTTATCCCCATTTTACTGAAGAGAAAACCAAGACAGGGAGGTTAGATCAACTGCCCAGAATTATATAGCTATTATGTGGTATAGCAGAATTCCAGCCTGTGCAATGTGACCTGGTGTCTATGTCCTTTACAATGTTCTTCCGCCTCTCTAGGTAATAAAGATGAGAATGTAGTAAAAAGTGCTTTAAGTGTATCCAAATGTTCATCATTCTACTGAATATCAAGTAACAGGACAAAATAATCTAAACAAAATCATTAATCTACAATCAACACTCCACAAATTGTACCTATTATAGCCTAGGGTGTGATTAAAAAGGGGGTAATCAACAATGTATACACCTTGTCCTCCAAAAGTAGGGGGAACAAACAATAGGCAATAACTGTTGTGAACAAAATATACATGCTGCTTTTCCACGATGAGCTGAGGTAAGTAGTACAATCAGTCATAAAAAATAAAGAGCTCTGGGGCGCCTGGGTGGCACAGTGGGTTAAGCTTTGGACTCTTTGTTTTGGCTCAGATCCCTGATCTCAGGGTCATGAGATGGCGGCCGGCACAGGACTCCAGCTCAGCGCAGTGTCTGCTTAAGAGTCCCTCTCCCCCAACCCCTCCCCCACAAAAATAAATAAATAAATCTTTTTCAAAATTTAAAAAATAAAAGAGTTTGAGAAATCACAAAATCATGCCCTCAAAAAATAACAGCACTAAATGCAAAGGGTTAGGAAATGACCGAGCCAGAAAAGAAATCAGTAGAATTCTTTTTAAAGTAAAGGTTTCAGGGGCACCTGGGTGGCTCAGTTGTTAAGCGTCTGCCTTTGGCTCAGGTCATGATCCCAGGATCCTGGGATCGAGCCCCGCATCAGGCTCCTTGTTCAGCGGGAGGCCTGCTTCTCCCTCTCCCACTCCCCCTGCTTGCATTCCCTCTCTCTCTGTGTCTCTCTGTCAAATAAATAAATAAAATCTTTAAATATAAAAAAAAAAAGGTTTCAGAACAATCATAAAGCTTTAAAAGAAGAAAAATAAGGTTTCAAACAGCAACAGGCTATTCACAGAGCAACAAATTTCATATATACATATCATAAAAAGACCACTTCCAAGAAAAGGTCCTACACCACATTATAAATATTGTAATGATGCTGGACACTTACGTAGAAAGCACTGTTCTAAGCACTTTACAGGAACCGATTTAATTCTTATAACAACCCCATTAAGGTAGGTCCTGCTATGATCCCCAGGTTATCGATAGGGAAAATGAGGCAGAAGTGTGGAGAAGTAACTTGCCCAAGTTTATTCAATGAGTGCCAGTGCTAGGATGTCAACCCCAAGCAGTTTATCTCGAGAGTATGTGCTATACTTCCTCTAGTAGGAAACTAAGAAGCAGAACAAGAATTTATTCAGAATTATTATTCGGCCAGAGTACCTGGGTGGCTCAGTCGGTTGAGCGTCTGCCTTCAGTTCAGGTCATGATCTCAGGGTCCTGGGATCAAGCCCCACGTTGGGGGTCCCTGCCCAGTGGGGAGTCTGCTTCTCCCTCTCCCTCTGGCCCTCCCGCCACCCTCCCACCCCCACTCCCCTCCCCTGCTTGTGCTCTCTCTCTCTCTCTCTCCCCCCCAAATAAATAAATAAAATCTTTAAAAAAAAAGAAGTATTATTTGGCCATACTTGGTAACAAGAATGAAAGTACCTTTCAATCACAATAATTCGTCATCTATAACAGTTCTGTCCTTGGTCTTCCCTCCAAATTAATCCGCACATTCTTCCTGTACTACCTCATCTTCTCCTCTGGTTTCAAGTACAATCTCCTTGCTGATGATTCCCAAATCTATTGACCTCCAGCCCAATCTCTCTTCTGCATCTTAAACCTCACCAACAACCTAATAAATATTTCTCTTTCAATGCTCAGTGAGCATCTCAAACTCAACATGTCCAAAACTGAATCATCATCTCTTTCCCACCTCAATTCCCACCCTCAAATCCCTTCTTCCTCCTGTACCCCCTTACCTCAATGACTGCCTCCATCATCCACCTGATTGCCCAAGTCAGAAACCTGGAAGTCATCCCAGACTCCTCAGTCTTCCTCACCTTCCATACCCAATCAATCACCAGTCACCTCCTCTAAGTATCTCTCCAATCAATGAATGTCTCATTTCCATTGCTTTACTTAATCTGACAACTTTACAAGTCTTATTATTTTGAATTTTGTGTTATTTTGTGAAACTTTCTTTTTTTTCTTGTATTTTGTTCTGTCTAATCCTAGCACAAACTCCATGAATGAAGAACAGGTATCATATATATTTCATATCTAACTCCCTAATGTGCAATTTCCTGATCAACACATGTTCTCAGCGAAACTTGGTTCTATTAGAGAGAAATTAATACTAAGCATGTATGTCAAGTAATACATTTTTTCAATGGCATTGCCTTCAGAAACAAGACCCAGTTATTTTGCAAAAAAAGTAAAAAAGAAAAAAAGTAGTAATTTCCTATTAACTCTACCACAACTCCCTAGGATATACCAATTGTTCAAGGATAGCTACTAAAGGCCATGCACTATGCTAAACACTTCACACAAATTATGCCACTTAATGTTCACAATGTTATCAACGGGGTACTGGTACTATACCCATTTTCCAGATGCCAAAACTGTAACTTAAGAGAGCTTACACAATTTGATCAAGGTGCCAAGTTAGAAAAATAACAGGCATCGTCGTCTGACATCAGAGCACATGTTCTTAAGCACTTGCTGTTTGCCTCTTTTTTTTTTAAGATTTTATTTTTAAATAATCTCTACACCCAACACCGAGCGAACCCACAACCCCGAAATCAAGAGTCCCATGCTCCACCGACCAAGCCAGCCAGGCACCCGTTGCTATTTTGCCTCTTAAGGATAAAATTAAATGTTTTAAAGCTCAAAAGAATAATTAAGCACAAAGTTTAAATCAAAAAGATGTTAGTTTTAAATGAAAAACGTGCCAAAACAGAGTAACGCTTTGGAAGTTCCGGCAGTTAAGAAAGAACCTGTTTGGTCGGTCCAAAAATCTTTAAGAAAGATCAGCAAACGAAAAAGATCCAGAACCACATAAATAAAATTGTCAAGAAAGTAATGCATTCGAATGCTTCTTTTCTTGGGACAGCATAACAAAACCAACACAGTCTAGTGTCTTACGCATTAGTATATTTCCCAATGAAATTCTACAAATGTTAGAATCCCCCGCCGTAATTCAGTTTTTGGTTCTGGCAACCTACCCACCACAGGCAGGTTAAGAGGTTCGGAAATCTCAACCGTGATTGCTTGCTTACTTCCAGACTCCTAAAATATGAGTCAAAGGGCCAGTGTAAAAAGAACACTGCCTATCATCCATCTTCGTCTGGTGCCATTAGAAACACAGGCGCACATTTAAATTCACATGCTACTAAGATCAAGCCCCAGCCTACAATTCGTCCAAGATTCGGCAGCTGCACACCCAAGGTGCAGACCACAAGCTCTCAACTTTTCATTTTGAGTATAGGTTTTAGATTCTGGGTGCGAGAGCCCACTTTGAATTGGCCCCTGGGTGCAAAGCGGATTCCTGTCAGATTTCTCGGGAAGGGTGGGAGGCGTGAAGAAGGGACGGCCTCCCACCGTCCAGGAGCCCGCCGCGCGCCGAACCTTTTGTTGGGGAGAAGAAGGCGGACCCCCGCACCCTTCTGGGGGCGTACGGGGGTGGGCGGGGAGAGCGAGGGAGCGAGACGCCGCGGCGGCCCCCGGCCACCTCGGGGGTGGGGACACAAAGAATTTGGGGAGAGCCGATCGGCCGGCCGACGAGCTCCCCCACCCGCCCTGCAATAAGCCGCCGCGAAAACTCCAGGCCCGGGCCGCCGAGAAGCGGGCGGAGGCGGGAGCGCTGGTGTGCGGGGCTCCCTGCGCCCCCCACCCCCACCCGGGGCGAGGATCGGCCGCCTGCGCGGGCTGAGGGCCGGGGTTGGAGGGCGGCGCGAGGCCTCCGCGGCACCCGCCACAGCCGCAAGCCCCCTCCGCCCAGCCGCGGACCAGGCCGCCAGATCCCCGCGCCCGCGTCGCCACACCCACCCGCCTCCTAGGCCGGGATCGGGAGAGCTACCGGCTCTTTCTCCCGCTGCGGCGGCGCGCCCCGCGCCCGAGATTTACCTGCTGATCTTCTGGGCAAAGGCGCGGCGCTCGGCCATGACTGCTAAGGCGGCGGCGGCGGCGGCGGTCTGGGCGCGGACGGGCGGGCGCGTGCCTCCTCGCTCGCGCTCCCTCCCTCGCGGCCTCCGCCAGTCCCAGCTCCGGACCGGGGAGGCTGGGGCTGGCGGCCGGAGCCGGGAACGAGCCCTGCCGTAATGCTCCTGAGAGGCGCGCAGCGAGAAACCGCTCCTCCCCCAGCGCGTCAATCCCCGCGGGAGCCCGGGCTTCAGAACGCAGCTGCGGCCGGTTGGAGCCCAGGGGAAGAGTGGGGCGTGGAGGGAGCGACACGCCAGTCCTGGCCGCCTTGCTGTCGCGGGGCCCGCACGACTGAAAGGACACAGCAGCCAGAGAGGGGCCAGCGACTTGGCGAGGCAGGAAAATAAGATTACAGAACGCGGGGGGCGGGGGGGGGGCTTGGCATTCCCGAAAAGGAAGCGGAGGAAATGGAAGATGGGTTTTGCCGAGGGGGGCTGTGCTCTGCCGCCCTGGATGGCTGGGTTCTTGTTCCTGCAGCGCCCATCTCCGAGCAGTTGAAAGCACTTTCTGTTCTGCTCCGACCTTATGAATGGGGTCTGACCAGAGAAAAAATGGTTTTTCTTGTAGAAAAAGAGCTAAAAAAGACCTTTCTCCTACACAGGTAACAATAATAGTTGACTTGTGGTGTTTAGCCAGGCACAGATGAAAGTTTTACAGGCATGATCTTAATCGCCAGGACAGCTCTTTGAAGTAAGTTCTTATTATGCCCATTTTAGAGACAAGGAAATTGGTTCGCAGAAGCTAAGCGCCTGGCCCCAGGTCACACATACGGTAACCTATTCAACTGAGGTTCGAACCCAGAGCCCAGTCCTTTTCTTTGAAGATAAGTGTTTCTCCGCTAACAACACTCTTGCTGAGGGCGCCTGGGTGGCTCAGTGGTTAAGCGTGTGCCTTCAGCCCAGGTCATGGTCCCGGGGTCTTGGGATCGAGTCCCGCATCGGGCTCCCCGCTGGGCGGGGAGCCTGCTTCTCCCTCTCCCACGCCCCCTGCTTGTGTTCCTGCTCTCGCTATCTCTCTCTCTGTCAAATAAATAAATAAAATCTTAAAAAAAAAAAAACCAATACTCTTGCTGAGATTATTACTTCCCCCTTTGGGATCTCATTTTCCATTTATAAATGTTGGACCAGATGAGCTCTAATGTACTTTACCATTTTGACGTCCTATTAGTCTACATGTTTACCACGCAAAATGATCTTGCCTATTAAATCCTATAAAACAGGGACGAGCAAAAATCATGTCTTATTCTCTTGTAATCCCATAGTATGTAGAATGTTTGGCTCCTAATTCATACTTGCTGATTGCTGATGTTATGGTGAAACTAGGAAAAATCAACTTGGTTTCTTGTACCTTTACTCAAGTATTGCCAGGATTTACATGTATTTTTTTATTATTAATATGTTAATATGTTCTCTCTGTGTCCTTGTGAGGTAATTGGATATTTGTTTTCCTCTCTTTTACAGTTGGAAAATCTGTAGCATAGAGCCATTTGCTCAGTCACACACTGAGTCAGGGGTGAAAGCCTCAATTAGTCAGATCCACAACTTCCTGTCTAGTTTTATAACCACTGTGGAAGGCTTCATATTTTGTTTAACAATGCACATTCCAGTATAGTCTACTCAAAGAGGATTTTTGTGTAACTTCTGCTTGAATGTATAACCCACCTAGATATTCTAGAGAACACAAAGCTGAACTAGACTCAGTCCTGCTGTCAGGAAGTTTGAATCCATTGGGAAAGATGAAACAGCTACTCAAAGAACTGCAAGTCAAGTCTTACACTGTAACCTGGCCTTTAAGACACTGCTTGATAGCAACCCAGTCCTATTCTGTCACTTTCTTACCATGTGACCTTGAGCAAGTTACTTAACCTTGACTATAAAATGAGGGGAATAGTTGTACCTACTTAAAAGAGTATTGTGCAGGGGCGCCTGGGTTGCTCAGTGGTTAAGCATCAGCCTTCAGCTCAGGTCATGATCCCGGAGTCCCAGGATTGAGTCCCACCCACATCGGGCTTCCTGCTTGGCAGGGAGTCTGCTTCTCCGTCTGACCCTCTCCCTTCTCATGCTCTCTCTCACTCTCTCAAATAAATAAATAAAATCTTAAAAAAAAAAAAAACAGTATTGTGCAGATTCATTGGGTTAATTCATATAAAATTCTTAGAACAGGGCCTGACATATGGTAAGTCCTATATGTACTAGCTTCTGTTATTACTATCACTGTTATTATCATTATTCAGCTTACACTTAAACTTGTCTTGGGTGCTTGATAGTCCCTGAAGCGTTTGTCTGCTCTCATGCTCCCAGCCAGATGTTGTATGCCTTTATCTCTGCTCTCCAAACATCTTTTCACTACTCTCTTAGAGAATTGACCACATTCTGCCTTTGAATGGTTCTTTGTATACATGACTCACTAGTTGCCAAAGTGTCTGAAAGGACATTGCATGCACTGTGCAGCTTGCTGGGAACATTTAGAGCCGGAAGAGGACAAGCAGGACCAAGCTGTAAGCAGGGTAGACAGAGCCTGGGAAATACTCCAGGCTGGAGTGGTGGCCCCCACCTCGGAGAAGAGCTGACAGTCACAGGCAAGTCTGGAGTGAGCAGATATCCATGTCCCACAAGGGTCCAAATTCAGGAAAATGCATTTCATTACAAAGGGAGTGACCGTGGAATTGCTTTGGCTCCCCAGTATCCATGCTCCCCGTATATCCCTGCACATAAATACACACACCAGTCTCAATCCACCATACTTATATGGAGCTGATGCCCTCACCTCCAGGTTCAAGAACGAACATGTGGCCTAAGTCTGGCCAAGCAGAGAAGCACATTCCGCTGGCTTCTATGACTGGTTTAGGAATAGGTACATGGATCAGACCAAGAAAATTGGGCCCAATCAGAACTGAAAATTGCATTTGCTACACGAGGGACCTCAATCTAAAGGCCTACCTAAGAGTAAAGCCAAACACAGCAGAGAAGAAAGTAAAAAATGGAGAAAGATGAGCTCTTTATAACATTACTTGAGGCTTGGACTTTGCAGTTACATGAACTAATAATGTGCTGGGATTGTTTTGGCTTGGTTTGGTTTTGGGTTTTTGCATAAGCTAATCTAAGTTGGGTGTTCTGTCTTTAGCAACTGAAAGAGTCTTTACCTAATACAAGCCTTCCTTTAGTCAACTGCCACCACTAGGCCCTGGAGAGACAATGGTAAATAAGACGTTTTGTGGCCTCAAAGAGTTTAGAGACTGGCTGAAAACATAAGCCAGTAAACAGTATGTTCAAGTGCTAAGATAGGAAAAATTCAGGAAGATCCATATAAATTCTAGATAGCATCAATTCTCAGCATCAGGTGAAGACTAGATTATCACCAAGATGTTCATTTGACATGAGGTGGTAATAACTGGATGGAGTTCAACCCCATGTTTAACTGTTAAAACTGGAAAGCCTGGGTGGAACCCTGAAAGCAGCAGATGGCCCCACCATTTACTGGGATTCAGAACCTAAATTCCTCACTAATGGGAAGATACTTGCAAAGAAAGTACATTCCAAGAGCTAGGACTAATTTGGCAGAGTAGCCTAAAAATAGTGAGTTTTAGGTAAGAATGCCTCAGGGCAGTTTTCTGAGTAAATATTCACAGTGTTCTAAGGTCCTTCAAACAGAAGACTTAGGAATATGGCACGGAAAAAGGGGGATGGAGGCCTTATATTAGTTTCACATTCTAAATGATAAGCAAGCTCAAGTTGCCCCCTTTAACATAGGGCTAAAAAGGATTATGGTTGTGGCAAGGTCGAGTTTTTAAGGCCACACTACAAAAGGGCAAAGTTTTGTGTCATAAGGGATAAAGTTCTGGCTTTGCAGGCAGAATGTGTTCTCTTTAGGGAATTTTGGGGGGGATAGGCAGTAGTTCCTTGCTAAGATTTGAATTTTTTTGAAGCATCACTGGATTCATGAAGTGTGATTGACCTGGGACTCCCTCTTAGAAGGCGCTAAGAAGGCAAAATGAGTGTGGTCTAGAGGAAGGGAAGACTGGGCATACCACTTAGGCTTACCTCAATCCCAAACTGAAGCCCAGGAGTTGGGTACAAAGTCCAAGCTAAAGATGCTTCTGTCTGCTTTGTCCTGTCACTCACTCTCTCTTAATACCTAGCAAAAGGGACAATTCAGGGATCCTATACTGGTGACACTTCCCAACTAATAATACCCATGTTTATCCTGTTTATGATGCTTACTACACTATTCAGTTATTGACTATTAATCTGTGTGCCCCATCAGACTCGATCTCTTATTCACCATTGTATTTTCAGCACATAATACACAGCCTGATCCATTATAATCACTCAGTCAATGTTTTTGAGTGAATAAATGCCATGGACTAAAGTATTTGAGATCCTGCCTTAATTTACATTTCCTCCAAAACAGAGCTTGAGACAAGGACTTGGAAGCAGGTAGTTTATTAAGGAAGTGATCCTAAGAAGCTGGAATGAGGTAGTAGAAAGAATGGAACAGAGGAGGGAAAGCCAGTAAACAGTGTGTTATTGAGATGTTTACCACTGTAGGCAACGAGGCTCAAGCCCACCTGTGACTCTCTGAAGAACTGTTGATATGCACTTGAGAATTGTCCCTCTGAAGTTGAGTATTTATTTAGCTAACTAAATGTATACCTCTAAATCCCTTGGTTGAAGGCTGCCGCTGGGGACATTAACTACCCCCATACTCTATGCTGCAAAAAGCTGAGAGAGATGATTGTGCTTCCGGTGGGAAGCCATCATGTGCGTAACTGTCCTCCCCAGCTGCAGCTAGTCAGAGACGAGCTGTGGGGAGAAGTCGAAGCATCAGTAGCATCTATTACAGCCCCCCGAAAGTGATGCAGAGACTACAATAGCTATCCTACCAGAATTAAATATATTTGCCCCTCATGGTTCTGCTGCTTTACAGAGCTGGAAAGGGCCAGAAGGCCAGGTTATTCCAATGAAATGACCGGCAATGCGGGCTCAGTGTCCACTTGAAAAACAAGCCCATAATACATCTTTCCTGAATGAGTTGTGTTTCAAGGTAGTC